GAGCATAAAAAGAGCCCTCCTGGATTAGGCGAAAAGCCCACCTAGTCCAGCACTCTATTCTCATGGCAGTCAACCAGATGTCCATGCAGAGCCCACAAGCAGGACCTGAGGACAACATCACTTTCCAGCAACTAGCATTCAAAGGCATACTCACAATGACTCATTCATAAGGATAACCTTATCTGTGTGAGTGTCTGGAGGCGGTTGGAGGATGGATGGTGGCTAACAGATTGAGGTTGAATCCTGACAAGACAGAAGTACTGTTTTGGGGGGACAGGAGGCGGGCAGGTGTGGAGGATTCCCTGGTCCTGAATGGGGTAACTGTGCCCCTGAAGGACCAGGTGTGCAGCCTGGGAGTCATTTTGGACTCACAGCTGTCCATGGAGGCACAGGTCAAATCTGTGTCCAGGGCAGCTGTTTACCAGCTCCATCTGGTATGTAGGCTGAGACCCTATCTGCCTGCGGACTGTCTCGCCAGAGTGGTGCATGCTCTGGTTATCTCTCGCTTGGACTACTGCAATGCGCTCTATGTGGGGCTACCTTTGAAGGTGACCCAGAAACTACAACTAATCCAGAATGCGGCAGCTAGACTGGTGACTGGGAGCGGCCACTGAAACCACATAACACCGGTCTTGAAAGATCTACATTGGCTCCCAGTACGTTTCCAAGCACAATTCAAAGTGTTGGTGCTGATCTTTAAAGCCCTAAACGGCCTCGGTTCAGTATACCTGAAGGAGCGTCTCCACCCCCACCATTCTGCCCAGACACTGAGGTCCAGCGCCGAGGGCCTTCTGGCAGTTCCCTCACTGTGAGAAGCCAAGTTACAGGGAACCAGGCAGAGGGCCTTCTCGGTAGTGGCACCCGCCCTGTGGAATGCCCTCCCACCAGATGTCAAACAGAAGAACAACTATCAGACTTTTAGAAGACATCTGAAGGCAGCCCTCTTTAGGGAAGCTTTTAATGTTTAACAGACCACTGTATTTTAATACTTTGTTGGAAGCTGCCCAGAGTGGCTGGGGAAACCCAGCCAGATGGGTGGGGTATAAATTATTATTATTATTATTATTATTATTATTATTATTATTATTATTCTTTTCCATGAGTTTGTTGAATCCACTCTGAAAGCCACATACCACCCAACAGACCCACTTTGAGCAAGACATCCTGGACTCAGAGAAGCTGCTCTGGCCTCTGTTTGAAATCCTGGATGTCCACCTCCCCTCCTCCATCTCCTCTGCCTCCTCCAGGGTGGCAGTGGTGACCTCCATCTTGGCCTCTGCCATGGCCGTTGCTGTAGCTCCTCTGCCACTGTACTCCAGGAAGCGGGCATAGTGTTGGTGCTGACCTTTAAAGCCCTAAACAGCCTTGGTCCTGTATATCTGAAGGAGCATCTCCACCCCCATCATGCAGGACCATCACTGAGGTCCAGCTCCGAGGGCCTTCTGGCGGTTCCATCACTGCGAGAAGTGAGGTTACAGGGAACCAGGCAGAGGGTCTTCTCGGTAGTGGCACCTGCCCTGTGGAATGCCCTCCCAGCAGATGTCAAAGAAATAAACAAATATTTTACTTTTAAAAGACAACTGAAGGCGGCCCTGTTTAGGGAAGTTTTTAATGTCTGATGCTGTATTGTTTTTAATATTCAGTTAGAAGCCGCCCAGAGTGGCTGGGGAAACCCAGCCGGATGGGCAGGGTATAAATAATAAATTATTATTATTATTATTATTATTATTATCAGCAGCAGCAACAAGCACACATCTGGAAGTGGGCACGCCACTGTGGGCAGCCGCTATGAGGCTGAGGAGGCTGCGAGAAGGCTGAGGGGGCTGAAGCCTAGCCGCTGTGGTGGTAAGGTGGCAGGGGAGTGGCAGGCAGGGGCAGGGACAGTGGAAAGGTTGGGCAGGTGGGGGAGAAGGAGTGCAGAGATCGGGCAGGTGGTGGCAAGAAGAAGCATGGAGATTGGGCAGGTGGGATAAAGGTGGCATAAAAAAGTAATAAATAAACTCCTGGTGTGCAGTCCACCCTGGGCAGTTGAGACACTCACTTTACAACAGGAGTGGGGAATCTCAGGCCTGGGTTGGGGGGTCACATGCAGCCCCCAGACCTCTTTCACTGGCCCTCATGACTCTCCCTAGGCCACACCTCCTCACCAGCCCGGCTTGACCCTCTCCTCAAAAGCTTTTGCATGATTGTCCTTGAACTGTGATAGTGCCTGGATAGCAAATGGAAGGCTGCCTGTGATGGAATGTGGCCCCTACATTTTAAAATGTTACACACACACACCACAGAAACCAACACATTTGTCAACTAGCCCCTTGCCAGCATCTGATCCCAAAGGTGGCTATGTGAACAGAGGTACACATGTCGAGTAGCCTCTGTTGAGACATAAAAACCAGTTGAACAGAGTTTGCATCCCTGTGGAAGACATCCTTCATGTGTACATCCATCCATCCATCCATCCATCCATCCATCCATGGCTCTTCAAACTGATGCTGATCATGCATCAGCCATGGGAGCATGCTTGACACACATGCCAGTCACTACTAGTAGTAGTATATTTATTTATATTATACCCCACCTTTTCCCCACTCATTCATGAAGGCCTCTTAGGAGAGGGCTAAGGAGACAACGCAATTGCACTCTTTCTATGCAAGCTCTTAAGGAGGCCCTGGAGAAGGGTGCAGTGTGTGACCATGTCAGTCTCCTCAGCACAGCTGGAAAATCGAATAAGTCTCCACAACTGAAGGGCTTAATCCCTGCCATTAGCTATTTGTAAGAGGGAAACTTGTGTGGTGTTGATCAAATCCACCCAAGCCGCAAGACTTGGCTGGGGGGGTCTATGAAACGGCGATGACCAGAGGCCAGAGCGAAAATAATCTCTGGCAGCATTTATCATTGCAGGTTGTTGGAAAGATCTTCATTTCACCTGTGAAAACGAGCAAAGCAGCTCCAGCTGCCTGGCTCAAGTTCTGGCCCACTAAGTATAGAGCCAAACAGATCTGTCTCCCTCTTTGTCTTTCAGCGCCAATTACCCCCATGAACAGGAAGTCTTCCAAAAGCTTCTCCAGAGATGCTACCAGAACTATATAATAGTGCCTAGTGCTGAACAGACGTGGGGGAGTGATAGCATTTCACTAACATTTCACTAACAACAAAAACAACACACCCAGTGTTTAAGGTAAGTCTACTCAGAGAGGTAGGGACGCGGGTGGCGCTGTGGGTTAAACCACAGAGCCTAGGACTTGCCGATCAGAAGGTTGGCGGTTCGAATCCCCGCAACGGGGTGAACTCCCGTTGCTCGGTCCCCGCTCCTGCCAACCTAGCAGCAATTTGAAAGCACGTCAAAGTGCAAGTAGATAAATAGGTACCGCTCCGGCGGGAAGGTAAACAGCGTTGCTCTGGTTCGCCAGAAGTGGCTTAGTCATGCTGGCCACATGACCCGGAAGCTGTACGCCAGCTCCCTCAGCCAATAAAGCGAGATGAGCGCCGCAACCCCAGAGTCTGTCACGACTGGACCTAATGGTCAGGGGTCCCTTTGCCTTTACCTTTACCCAGTTAGGTAGAATGTTGATGTGTGTTTTAATCTGTTTTTAATTCTTTTTGCTGATTTTTGTTTTCCAACCAAGCAGTATATAAAGTTTACAAAATAAGCAAAACAAAACATGGTTTACTTCGTATTTTTAATTGTATGATTATATTGCAGTAAATAGGGATGCTAGAAAATTCGAATGGAAATTGCCAGCCTTCACTTACTCATTTACTCATTTACTCATTTACTTCACTTACTCATCTAGAACAGAATCAATCCAGTGAATGTGATCAGCACTCGCCATTGTGTTTCCAATCTGCAAATGAAATGTAATTGATTACATTCCCGCCTCACTCACATTGCTTTTCCATTGCATTGAAATTAGTGGGACAGAACATAATGACAGCATGATTTGCATAATTATATAGGTTACATAATTTCATCACAGTGGGCAGTGAGGTAAATTATGTGGTTTTTGGCAGAGGACGAACTGCAGCAGCATGGAAACAGTGCTGTACGTGTCTAACCCAGGTCAGGAAGGTAATCTCTCAGCACATGCATCATATTGAGATGTTCCATGAATGGAAACATACTCCTAAAGCTCTCTCTGAGCTTGAAGCTGTTGGCTGCATGGCAGAGGGAGGAAGGTTGATGGGGGTAATAATGTTTGTATGCGCCACAAGAACAATCACAATGATGTTCTATTGTCTCTCTGGGCAAGCGAGCCACTAAGACTAATGAGCTCATTTATAGCCCCTGATGGAAGTAATTGAATCTGAAAAATCAAAGCACAACATTCTTGTTTACTGCTCTTCAAAAAGCGATATTCTAATGGAATGCCATCAGCAGCTAATTGAAGCACTAATCTTGACCGAGGCCGGGTCTGTTGCCCGGATAGATAATCTATCATTTTCTTGTCTGGCAGGCAATGTATCGGCAGTGTCTGCGGGGAGAGAGACAGAGCCCAGATTAGATGGATCTGAAGAGATGCAAAAGGAAGCACAGCAACCTTCTTCAATCAATATTTTGATCATGTTGACATTAAATGTCCATCAAACGGCAGGAAGTTTTCTTTGAACCACAAGGGCACGTTTATGAATGATAGATTCGCCGCCCACAGTGTGGCAAAGAAAAGATGCTCCCTGCCAGCTGCTTCCCACACACTACAAAAGGTCGGCGTTATTTAAAATCTGTAGCCCAACCCATCCTGGAGGTTTGAAGTGCGTAATGGTAACTTAGACAATAAACGTGAACGGTAAGCAAAGACAAGCACATACACACATATATATGTTGTTCAAAGAAAGCCATGAGAAATTGCTTTGAAAAGGCCCCCTGCCTACCAGCTTAACACTGAACACCAAATGGCAGCGTCCCACTCTTACAGCCATACATTTCTAAAAGACCTACTGCAGTTTGTTACGGAAAACACGGCTCTTAGGGTTCATATCAACAAGATCACAATATTTTTTTAAAAGGGGAGGGGAATAGGGGCAAAGGGTTATACTTGTTTCACCGGTGAAATGTTTTCTGCCAAACGAACGTTGCAGTGCAAGAAAACGCACTAAGCAGGTGGTTGGTAACTTTGCCACACAATATATCATGCAATTGTGTTGCACAATGAGTTTCTGTGGGCACAAGCATAGCATTGGATTCCTCTGTTGCACAACAATAAAACATATGTGTCTGCTAGTGCAAGAGTCCTTGCACGAGCAGACTGTCAGGAGCCAGCCAGCAGTCAATCACACAAAGTAAGTGAAGTTAACTCTTTATTGGCAAAAACAGGATCTGCACAGGAGTGTCACACCCAATGAACACAGCAACTGTTCTGCGGTATGTCTTGCCCCTATGAAGCAGTTGTGGGGACAGAAGGTCCCCACCTTCCCCCAGCTGCCTAAGTCCTCTCTTCTCCAGGACTTTTCCCAAGCAATCTGAGATCATGCCAGCATGCCTACCTTTGCTCTTCCAACTTCATGCCTCTTCTGGTTCTGGGAAACGAGTGGGAGGGGAGCTTGCCACAGCAGGAGTATGAGACACCTGTGCCTCTTCTCTGAGTCTTGGCCTCCCTCCTCTCCTGCTTCAGTGTCTACCTTTGCTTCTGGACTTCTCTCTGTCACTGACTCTCCCAGCTCATTAAGCCCTGTTACTTTTTCAGCTTGTGAAATATCCTCCTCCAGGTCTTCTCCCTCTTCTCCTTCTGACTACTCATTGTCATCCCACCACCAATCTCCAGACTCTGAGCCTTCTTCCCTTGAGGATTCCCCAGCTGGTTCATCCCACCATTCCTCTGTGTCTGACCAGTCCCTAACAAAGACAGAATACTTTGAATATAGTGCATAGGAAACTGTCGTATACCTACCTGATCAGACTGTTTGTCAACCCATCAATTGATTTTATGATTACTTTCATAGCCCACCTTTGCTCCAGAAATCTCAAGCTGTGGTACGTGGCTCTTGAGCTCTATAAAAGCAATCAAGAGCTCAAAAGTTCTAGAGACTAGGCCCTGAGACAGTTGAAGAGAGAGATTTCTGGTGGGCTTTTTCACTCCAAATGCATGCAATGGTTTGTTTACTTGTTCATTGCATTTATATCCCCTATTTTTAAACTAAGGAGCTCAAGGTGGTATGCATGGTTCTTCCCCTCTTCATTGTATCCCCAGAACAACCCTGTAAGGTAAGTTAGGCAGTGAGACTGTGATTGACCCAAGTCTACTCAGAGCATTCCATCACTGAGTGGTGATTTGAACCCTGTTCTCTCAGGCTTACTCTGCCTTTCTAACCAGTACATTATACTGTTTGGAGCATCTTTATAAGCAGCAAAGGGCCCCCAGAAACTGGAGCACCAGGAACCACTAATTATTGCCCCATGTGAGGAGCTGTGTCTCTGCAGCTTCTCCATAAGGTGCTAGAAGCTGTTGACCACTGCCTGGAACTGTTGACCACTGCCCTATGTGGCAAGTAGGGTGATTGCAGATAATAATAATAATAATAATAATAATAATAATAATAATAATTTATTATTTATACCCCGCCCATCTGGCTGAGTTTCCCCAGCCACTCTGGGCGGCTCCCAATCAAGTGTTAAAAACAGTACAGCGTTACATATTAAAAACTTCCCTTAAGATGTCTTCTGAATATCAGGTAGTTGTTTATCTCTTTGACATCTGATGGGAGGGCGTTCCACAGGGCGGGCGCCACTACCAAGAAGGCCCTCTGTCTGGTTCCCTGTAGCCCCATTCTCACAATGAGGGGACCACCAGAAGGCCCTCGGCGCTGGGCTGAATGATGAGGGTGGAGACGCTCCTTCAGATTATCAGGGAAGCATCTGCCAGACTGAATCTACCAGGCTGGCCATTGGCTCTTCCTGGGCATGAAGGGGAATAGAAGGGCTTCATGTCTCACTGCAACTTTGCTTGAGCAACAGCACCTACCTGGACACTAGCCTGTCTTCTGGTCTTTGCTCTTTGGTAGGGCAAGAAGTTCTTTTCTATCAAACATGTGTTTCCTATAATTATCTTGTCTTTCTTATTTTCATACTCAGTATCTCAGTGTGCTGCTTTAAAGGTAAATCAGGAATTTGTAGCTAAGCTCAAACTTCTGCTGATGCATATGAACTCCACATGCTATCATAACCCGGGAGTAATCCCTATCGGGATTTACTTCAAAGTAAGCATTGCTAGATTTGTACTGTTAACCCCCAACTCCCATTCTCCAATCTCTTGACACAAAGATCCTCCTGGAAAAGAAAAGGAGAGGGGGGAAGCTCTACTTGCAACACAGTTGAGCGGTTAAGTCCCATTGACTCCAATCCTAAGCCCATGTCACTTTCCTACCAAACACGTATAATTTTGATAGCAGGCTGACTGAACAAGCTAATCCTCAATGACATACTTTGTAAAACAGAAAGAAATGTCATTGCATGGCTTAGTCTTCTACCATCCGCCTGTTACTTCCAAAGATCCTGTTAACAACCACAGTTATAGGCATCAGAATCACACACTGAGAAGCAAAATCAGCCATGGGTGTATCGACGCGGCAAATAGGTTAAGTGTGTTTGCCAAGAACGATAAAACTGACCTTGTCGAAAGACCGCGATGACTGAAAAAGAACCAAAGGTTTTGCAGCTTTAGTGCAGAATTTCACGACGGCTAACCTTTATCGCCAAAGGGCTAATTGTAAACTCTTTATGTCCTTTTCATACCTAATTAGGTTTTGTTGTAAGGAGATAAAAGACAGGTTGTATCGGTCGACTGTCTATTTCAAACTGCTGAATTAAATTCATGAAAAAAGTCAGATTGTTGAAAGAGTGGGGGGGGGAGAGGCAGGCAGCAGGCATTAATAGACTTTAGAATAAAATCCAGACAGATTCAAATTGATTTCGCTGCCAGAAGAAAATTGAGTGCACAGGGAATTAGATTTATGCACTGTCAAATGTAACTGCCTGGCAGTATCCGTACAGAAAGCTGTTAAAATGGTAATCTTTAGAGATGTATGAAAATTGTGTGTGAATAGACCAATGAACCGTCCCAAAGAAGCATGCCTCTTCAGAATGGACCTTACAAGACTGTGTTATTATTATTAATAATGTATTACAATGCAAACACTATGCATTATGGATGTAATTTAATCACAGCATCTAAATGTATAAACAACAGCCAAGGCTCTTGGAAATATTTTTTTTTTCCAAAAAAGAAGACGAAGAAGAAGATTGCGTATTAAAAGAAAAAGAAAAGGAGGAATCGAGAGAGTTCCTGAAACATGCTACTCGTTTTGGATCAAGGCGATATTCAAGGAGCCTTTACTGCCACCTCCCAAAAAGCCACACACAAGACCACAACACACACCTAATATAAGCTGGCTGCTTATACACAATGTCATGGAATGGCTGGACACAGAGGAAAGGTGGGAGGAACCAGTGGCGGAACTCCAAGGGACTCAAAAACAGGGGACTGGTTGTGGGACGACGATAAGTGGTCACAGAGAGAAGACTGGGAAGAAGGTGTGTTGGAAGCTGAAGACGTAACAGGGCTTAGTGAGCAGGGGGAGTCTGTGCAGAGAGAAATCCAGACTCAGAGGCAGAAGCTGAAGCAGGAGAGGAGGGAGGCTGAGAGGAGTCCAGCTGGTGAAGAGTCACAGGTTTCTCCCCCTCCTGCTGTGACAAGCTCTGCTCCCCCCAGGTCTCCCTGAACCAGGAGAGGCATGAAAAGGGTGGAGAAGTTTATTTCATGCAGACGCCATCTCAGATTGCTTGGGGGAAACCCTGAAAAGGAAGGAACTTAGACAGGTGTGGGGAGGTGGGGACCTTCTCTCTCTGCAACTGCTTCATGGGTGCAAAACATGTCAGAGATGAGTTGTTGTGCTCATTAGGTCTGAGACTCCTGTGCAGATCCTGTGTAAGCTATTAAGGAGTTAACTCCAACTTGCTCAGTGTGGTTTGCTGCTGGCTTCCTCCCATCACAAGACAACACTTGCATGTTACTTTCTGGTATTCAGGAGTCTAGAAGAGACCCGCCATACCTAAATTCATTCACAAAAGAATTGGGTATTCCACAATAGTAGTTGTTATACAGTAAATCACAGCTGGGTGGAAATTGGCCACATGAGGATTCCATCTTGTTTTGGCATTTCATTTTCCTCAAGCAGATGTTTTTGGGCAACGCTGACAGACTTGGGCTTAATATCCCTCCTTAATAAAGTGAAGTGGAGAAAAAGCTTTGATTAAGAAAATAATTAGCAGCGAAGTCTGGAAAGCTGTTTACTGACTTCTCCAGGGGCAAACCTTTCACAAGCAAATGGAGCAGCGGCAACTGAATTCCACAGGAATGTAAAATCGGAAAGGGTTTTGGTGAAGAGGTTCTAGTCCAGGGGTGCTGTTCTTGGGCCTGATGCTGGACCCCACAGAAACAACAGCAAGGCAGATGTTGCTAGTTGACAGATAACTCCAAATGAGCAACTTACCCCAGCAAAGGTTGGGAGCAGTCTGAGGCCATTGAAACCTCTCTGTCAAAAACCACCTCCTCCAGGCTCCACCTCCTTGTAGAGAACTTCACAGCCCTGCCATCTCTCCACTGTGCCACTGAACTAGTGACATGCAGTGGGAGGCATCTGGTCGTTCAAGAGAAGGCGCACCCATAAGGGACTGGACTCTGGTCCTGCAGGCTCTGGTGGCCTGGGTGCTCTCCTGCTCTCCAGCAGTCAGCTCAGAGCTCTGAACTTGATCTGTCTCTGTTTCTCACAGCTCTGCAGCCTGAGTCTGTGCCTGGATTACTGCTGAACTCATACCCTTCGGCTGAATGTAATCCTTCAAGCCTATCTGTCCTGCAGGACTAAGTATTTATTCATTTGCTTTGTATGTTTGTATGTTTGTTTGTCTAAATTTATATACCAACCTTCATGTGAATATCACAGAGCAGTTTACAGTTTACAGACTACAGTGGTAACTCGGGTTAAGAACTTAATTCATTCTGGAGGTCTGTTCTTTACCTGAAACTGTTCTTAACCTGAGACACCACTTTAGCTAATGGGGCCTCCTGCTGCTGCTGCACCGCCGGAGCACGATTTCTGTTCTCATCCTGAAGCAAAGTTCTTAACCCGAGGTACTATTTCTGGGTTAGCAGGGTCTGTAACCTGAAGCGCCTGTAACCCGAGGTACCACTGTATTACTAGGCCATACCTATCCCCCCTCAAAAAATTCCTCCAGTAGTCCTGTTTAATATTCAATGTTTTATCGCTTCATTATTACTCTTAGTAATATTCTGTTGGGGGCTGCCCAGAGTAGCTGGGGAAACCCAGCCAGATGGGTGAGGTATATTATTATTATTATTATTATTATTATTATTATTATTATTATTCTCAACATCCTCCTCATACCAGACAACTGGACCTCCCAGAATTAAAGAAGTCACACCAGCTTCTGACTGGATCTGAGGATGTCCTGTTTTGACTTCCAAGAGTGTGGCTATGAAAGCTGCCTGTTTGGGGGCGGGTTGTGTTCTCATGAAAGTCATCTGCCTCCCATGAGAGCATGGCCCTGAAAGGCACACATTTTTGGGGGGGGGGACATGCTTGCACATGAGTCAACTGGCTCCCATGAGAACACAGCCCCGAATGAAACATGTCCCAATTTTCCTCTGCAGGACGTTGGAGAGGAGGAGGAAGAAGAAGAAGAAGAAGAAGAAGAAGAAGAAGAAGAAGAAGAGGAGGAGGAGGAGGAGGAGGAGGAAGAGGAAGAGGAGTTTCCCGCCTTTCACTCCCCATAAGGAGTCTCAAAGCGGCTAACAATCTCCTTTCCCTTCCTCCCCCACAACAAACACTCTGTGAGGTGAGTGAGGCTGAGAGACTTCAGAGAAGTGTGACTAGCCCGAGGTCAGCCAGCAGCTGCATGTGGAGGAGCAGGGAAGTGAACCCGGTTCACCAGATTACGAGTCCACTGCTCTTAACCACTACACCACACTGGCTCTCAGTCTACAGCTCCCAGTCACCCTTGTCAGCATGGCCAATGGCCAGGGATTATCTTCATTTCATTGCCTGATGAAGCCTCTCCCCTCACTTGAGCTCAAGATCAAGTAGCCAGGCTCTGCTTCATGAAGGCTTGTTTTCCCAGGACAGCCAGTACGCTAACCATCTTGTAATTTCCTGGATAGTCCCCCTCCACACACATGTGGGATGTAAAGTTGCAGTCAAGTGCAACATTCCGACAGAGGACTAACGGCCTCCATGTTCTAACTGGTTGCTATGACAACCAATTTGTTGGTTACTGGTAGTTTTGAAAGATAACTGCTCAGTTGCAGTCACCTCAGGACCAACTTCCCTCTGGTATAGTTTGTTTGCTTGTTATTTAACCTAAGCCTGCTTTCAGGTACAGTTCTGTAAACCTGAATGAATCTGAGAGTAAAATAGTTAAATAGTTTTATATTAACATGAATCAGATTCGTGTGTGTATTCTTTAAGAGGGATTCAAAGGTATTTTTAACCAGGAAGGCATCTTTATTACTTAACTTTTTTGCCTATTTTTAAACAAGATATCCTTTCTACATAAAAAAAAACACCTTGACTGATCATCCATGTTTTTGACCAACATTTTGGTTTTACAGTGGTACCTTGGTTTAAGAACAGCTTAGTTTATGAACAACTTGGATTAAGAACGCTGCAAACCCAGAAGTGGGTGTTTGGTTTGTGAACTTTGCCTTGGAAGCAGAACATTTTCCGCTTCCTGTTGAGTGTGTTCCATTTGTAAATTGAGTCCCCCACTGCTATGGGAAAGCACACCTTGGTTTAAGAAAGCTTTGGTTTAAGAATGGACTTCCTGAACGGATTAAGTTTGTAAACCAAGATACCACTGTATCTGAGTTTATTTTGAAACCCGCCACTTCTCCAAACCTTTTAATTTCTTCTAATCCTTTGGAAAGACTCTCCAAAGGTTCCCCCAATGTCAGCACTACATCATTAGCAAATGCCTTTAATTTATAGACTCTACATCTCCCCTCAATACCTTTAATTTCCCTGTTTCTCCTTATATTCTGAAGCAGTATTTCTTTCATTAATAAACAACAGAGGAGACAAAGGACATTTAGCATTTGTCTGAATGACTATTATTTATTAATATATTTGCAGATTGATCAGTATAGATTGCCTTAATCCCTGCTACGAAAGCATTACCTATTTCCATTTTCTTTAAAACCTTGATCATAAATGACCATGAAATATTATCAAAAGCTTTCTCCACATCTAGAAAGGTTAGTGTGGTCTGTCTTTCATTTCTTACTTCCAGGTACACTATTTTATTAATTACATTTCTTATATTGCCTTTCATTTGTCTGCCTGGTAAGAACCCGGCCTGGTCTCTGTGGACTGACTCAGTCAATGTCCTTTTCAATCTATTAGCCAAGATCGTAGCAAATAGTTTATAGTCACAATTCAATAATGAAATAGGTCTGTAATTTTTGGTCTTTGTTAAGTCGCTGTCTTGTTTTGGAATCAAAGTAATGAATGCATCTTTCCATGAAGCTGGAACTACTCCCATCACCAAAATTCTGTTCATGGTGTCCTTAAGTGGTTCTATAAGTGCATCCTGAAACTTTTTATAATAAACTGCAGTAAATCCATTTGGCCCCGGTGCTTTCCCCATCTTCATTCGATTTATTGCCATTTGCAGCTCCAATATTGATATGGGTGCCTAGCTTGATCTCTTGGCACCCAGCAGAAGTTTTTCAGAGCCACTAGAAAATAATGATTCCTAAAGTTAGAAATCACCAGCCCTTACCATACACCCAACAGGAGGCAGGCAGTGTTTAGCTAATCAGCAGAGCATCTGCATTCAGAAAAAAGTGAGGGAAATATGTGAAAAGGGAATATTGCAAACAATTTGTCAGCACGTTAGCTGATAATTCACAGAGAAATGTTAGATCTTGAGGCAAGGCTCGTGGTCTGACAAGGTGAACATTATTGACTCTGACAGATTGCTGATGGCACATCCACTCCCTGGACAAGGAGCAAGGTTGCATTTAGACAAAATTAATGCAAGAATGGCAGAGGGAGCCATGCTAGAAAGGTCTGTGGTTATTTATTTGTTTGCACGTTTATTTTGAGGTGTCTGGTCCACTTACCTCTCACTGCCGCGAGTACCGAGCTCTAATAAGTTCCTGGCGGGAAAACCTGATGGGTTCACAAAACTAATTATTGCTCTGAGTAAAGGATCGTTCATTGGGGACCCACAAAGCTCAGTCTGTCTTCAGCCAGACCCCATTTCTCTGACTTCTTGATTATAGCCATTCCAGAGGGTGCCTGTCATCTTCCTCCTTCATCTCAGTTTTGCCCTGGTAGGACTCTTCACCAACCCTACCTGGAGTTACCAGGGCATGAACCTGGGACCTTCTACATTCAAAGCATATGATCTCTCCCACTGAGCTATGGACCTTCCAATTGAATTTGTACAACTCCCTCTTGGCACAAGGCTGCAGAGTTCTCTGGACCTTGAAGTGAGATGTCCTCTTGGATGCATCCTCCAACTGGATAGTTAGGACTATAGAACTCTTTCCTATCAAGAATGTACTTCCTTTAATAAACATGAGTTTTCATCTATACCAAGTCTCAGTCTGAATACCTTTCAGCTAATTTTTACTAAATTCCTTGCTAGGGAGAGGAAATTTGCGGCTCGGACTTTGCTTTCTGCTCAGATCTGGCTCTTGCTGCTACTGCTGCATATAAGCTCTATATGCTAACCATCTGGCACATGATTGCAGAGCTATTTTCCTTAATACAATGCATTATGGTATGCTATTTTCACAAACATATGCTTTTTTAAGCATGCTTTACCTCAGTTTATACATTTTTGTCACATTACTTGGCTGGAGAACCACATCACGAAATTCAGAGAAGTGTGCATTTTGAAGGACAGCTGTGTTTCAGCCTGCATATTGTTTTTGAAAATTCAGATGTAGGAAGGTTTGCCTTTAAATATGAACTAAATCACTGTCCTGGGTGCTGAGGTTTCCTGTCAGAGCTTAAAAAGGCAGCCGCCTGAATGTGTTGCACTATAGATGTCCTGGAATAATACTTTGGGATCAGTTCACCAAAAGGAGACTCGTTTAATGAATAGATAATCTCCTCTCTCTTCCCCTCTTGGCCTCCACAAAGGAATCTGGCAGAAAGCAGGCAAGGGATGGGAGCTATTTAACTCACAGCTGGAAAGATAACAAGGGATCCTAACCCACATGTGTAGGGGTGACAGTTGACTGTGCAACATACCAGCCACCTGGCCAGGGGGGTGGGGAAACATATGCTTGCTTCGTGCCGAGCTTGAAAAGCACCGTGTTCTTTTCTGCACCTGCAGGGAGAATGATGCTTTAAATCATTTCATTCATTCCTCCTCCCGGGTGTCCTTTTCCTTCCACCTTTGAAACTCAAAACCGCCCTCCCTGTAGCCTACGCCTCACTGCAGACGGAACTGCCAAGGGAGTTTGAGCATCATCCAAAACAAACAGACCGTGAGCTGTGATTTGGCCAGGTTGTGGCAGCAGTTTTTGAAAACAAAAGGGGTCTGAGGCAGGAGCTGAGAGGTGGGGTGAATTTCAGGGGTGGGGGTACATTAGTACAAATGGGGCACTGCCCCACCTGCCTGCTTTATTACTAACAACCAACCCAGGGGTAGCACTGCCCATCAGTTTCCTCTTCCTTAGTCCCTTGTAGGGAGCAGGGAGGAGAATGGTGACAAAATTAGAATTAGCTGGCTCTGCCTGTAATTGATGCTGGCTCCACCTACTGTAGTCCTCCCTGACTTCTGCTTCCCTGGTTCCAATAGACAACAGCCACCAGTGGTGAATTTTTGGCAACCTGATTCTATTTGAGGCAAGATGGAATGGCATTTTGCAGCAAGGATGGAGGAACCTGTGCCCCACTAAGTGCTGTTGGACTTTGCTCTTATCATCCTAGCCCACGTGTCACGTTGGCTGATACTGATGAGAGATGGAGGCCAACATCATCTGGACGGCTGCATGTTTCCCATCCCTGCTTTACAGGGCAGGTGGAAATAAGATGGCAGTCCTATCTAGAGTTTGGGCAGCATACTAACTGGAATCTGAGCCAAGGGAGTGAGTCTCGGCCCACTCAGTATGAAAATTGACTTGCATTGCCAAGCTCAAGCTGAGTGTTAAAATAAGATAAATCAGCACATGTTTATCAAGGGTAAACGGGGAAGCCAGAAACATAATGGAGAAAGTACTCTCTAAAGGACAATTTCATCACATATGAACGAGGGGATCATCTGAGGTCTTGCCCCATTTAATTCCACCTGGAAGGCAGGCAAACAGGCCACCCAAGACAGGATCAGTTCAGTAGTGGCTCCCCAGTGGCAGAATTCCATCCCAAGGTCACATTTACACAGGCTTCCTAGTGATTCTCTTGAGGCTTTAATGTCAAATCATATAGTATTTTAACTTATGTTTACTACCAGTTTTCTTAATTATGGTTATTCAGGCCAGGATGTGGTCAAAGGACATAAAGTACAGCAACTTTGCTAAAGCCAAGCAGGTCTGGTTCTAGTTTAGGTCTCGATTGGAGACCACCTGGGAACTCCATGTGTATCATTTTGAGTTCTGTTGAAGAAAGGTAGGGTATTAATACAATAAACATACATTTTGGAAGTCAAGCTCTGTTCCTTTCAGCTGGCTTTAATATGCGTGTGCTGATATTGCTCAAAGTGGATTGCATGCCAACTCAAAGGCTAATCTTGATGGGGTTGTATCCAACTGAGTCCTATGCGAAGCAAACTAATTGAAAGCAGTGCCCGTGATTAACTTAAGTCCCTTGATTTCAACTGATTTCCAAGTAGAACTTGGATTGGAAGAGTTGAGTTACACATGTCTCCAGTTGAGGATCTTGTGCAAAGTACTAGTGGCTGGTGCCCACTGGGCATCTGTTGATGTCCAGACCAAAAATGGTTTCTCTCATTTTCAGGCTCATTGGAAGGGCAATAGCTTTTTGAAGAGAGAGCAATGAAATGGAGAGAGAGAGTGATGGAAAGAAAAGGGAACTCCCTGCCGCCTCCTGCACCCCAAACACATATACAACCACCATCCAATTAAACATTAAACTCAAATAATTTTGTGGAAAATATGAAGAGCTTTGCATCCTGCTCATTAGAACTCTGGAATAATCACCTTGGGTCCCAAGGCAGAGGGAGCAATGGGATTGCACCGGGAAAGGCAAGGAGACAACAGTAGGTGGAGCCAGAACCAATGAGATGCAGAGCCAAGGAATTCCAATTCGGCTCCCCTCCCCACCATCCTCAACCCTGCTGAGTTCAACAAGGGCAACACGGAGACTAAGGAGGAGGAATCTGACAGGCAGGGCCACCCTGGATTGTAGGCAGGCGAGGGCTGGCTGAAGGCAGGCTGAGCGTGGTGGATAAGTGCCCCATTTGCCCTAATAGACCACCCTCCAGTGATACAAGGCAAATTCAGCCTTCCATGAAGTGTCCCACTTTCATCTCCTGTCTTCAGTGGTCATACATGCCTCCATCCCAAGACTCACTTGCAATACAAGGTAGGGGGGAAGGAGCTGGAGTCATTACAATGGGAAATCCTCAGGGGAGCTTTGTGATGGATTGTACCTTTCCCCTGCAGGTTGTTTTGAGAACTGGTTGCCTCCTGCAGATCTTGACCTGTAGTAATCTCGGAGTTGCATCTCAGTTCAACGAACATGTGTGCAACCACTGTTCGCCTCCCATCCCAAAAGCATAAACCTGGACCTTAAGGGCACCCCCATTAATAGGCATTGAAGGAACCAATTTGTTTCCTCCCTTGATGTGTTTATGTTCAGGCTCTTCATTCCACTTGCTGGATGAAAGGTTAATGGCTAACAGCTTCTCTGTCAAATGAGGCACTGATTTAACCTCAGTGGTGTCTCATTCTTTAATTGTCTTTGGCCTTTAGTGAGTTGAAGGTTAACAGCTGCTTCCCATATGCTCATCCACATGCAAGCGGGTTCTGATGGGCTGTTGCACATTTCATGGGTTAAAGAGAAAACACAAGCTTGGTTCTCCTCTCATCCAGCATGGCCATCATGGCAACAGTATCTGGCACACATTGAGTATAAAGGCGCTACCTATAGCAGGGGTCACCAACCATTTTAGGCCTCTGGTCACTTCTCTCCCCCTCCCTCAGATCAATACACCCACCCATCCCAAGGCAGAATGCACACACACACACACACACACACACACACACAGCCCTAGTAGAATTAGAGTTCTACCAGTGGTCAGGGATGATGTGAATTGAACTGTAGTCCAAAAACAGCTGGAGACCCAAGTTTGGGAATCACTTGTCTGCACTGACTGGGAGCATCTCTCCAGAATTTCAGACAGAGGATTCTCCCAGACCTACCTGAAGATGCTAGATATTGAACCTGGGACCTTCTGTATGCAATGATAACCCACAACCCATGCCACACTTGTGCCCATGTGCATGGGTAAATCTGTTGATACTGGTGATAAGACTATAAGCTCAATGGAGCTTCACTTCTGAGGAAACAAGTAGAGGGACTGCAGTTTGTCACTGGGTGGTACTGGATTTAATTTCCCTCCTGTTAATTATTCCTTTATATATATTTTTTATTTTCCTTTTTGAGAAAACTTCCCCAAGCCTTTTGGCACAAATGCACCATTTCCTTCCCCAAAACAATAGGGGACATTTTCCTCCAGTACGGAGACAATTGCCAGCACGGTTTCGACAAGCCCCAGCAAGAATTACATCTCCTAATTACCAGCTGCCTGGTGCCTGGAATGTTCACATTATTATATTTTCCCCCCACTAGTTGCTAAATAAGTTAATCACTTCTTGAACAAGGAAATCAGCGGATGCCTTTGAGGCTTTGTTAACATAGTCCCTAAGCCAGCTTTACCCTACCTTCTAATCCTCTTTAAGACAGTATGAGGCAGTGAAGTACCCTATAATCAGTTTTTAAGGTTAGAGACAATATCCCCACTCAAGATGGTTGCCCAGAGCAACAGTGCAGGGACTGAATAATACTTGCAATGAGATTGGATTACTTGCCTTGTTTATTCATATATATATATATATATATATATATATACACACACACACACTCATTCCACTGTGAAGTGAAGTATAATTTATGGGAGGAAGTTGGGGAGGGGAGGGGAATCTCAGACAGGTTTCAGAAATTAATCCATCATAACACCAATTTATATGCTCCATAGGCACGTGAGTCGTCATAATTATTCCAAAGAGCCAGTAAGTTCTGTTGCTGGAATCTTCGTTAGGGTGAGCTCTTGTTTCCTAAATTGATCCTGCAGATGGGAATTCATTTGGATCGTTGCTGTTTCTTAAAGGTAGTGTTTTGTATTCAGTCATACATGATAATTAATTATTTGAGCTCTTCAAAGGGCTTTGCTTGCACTGT